ACTTTCTTTAAGCAGGGAAGGACTGAAGCTGTTGTCTATGCCTGCTGAGTAGGGGTTCTTTTCTGTTTAGGGGCCAAGGACTTGGGTCTTAATCTGGAATAGGCAGAAATTAGAAAATGAAGGTGGCATGATAGTGAAGTAGTGAAGTCGTTGTGGGTATGTGTGTGTGCGTGTGTGTGTTTGGAGATGTTGGGTATGAAAACGTGTTCCTTGGATTAACCTGGGAAAAGTTTTGATGCCGTAATTTAGGTTTCAGGTTTAGTATTCCAGCCAGGAATGGATCCCAGGATGCGGAGACAGTGCTGAGTCTAGGCCATCAGACCCACAAGGGTGTCACAGGAGCCAGAGCAAGAACCTCACTGAAGCTCAGGCAAACAGCGAAAAGAGGCAGATATGCTTAGAGAAAGAAAATAAGTTCATTGAGGAGAAAGGAACAGAAATAATGTGGGACTCCCAGGTCAGGGGAATCATTACAGGGAGGGGCAAGGAAGCCAGAGTGGAGTCCTGCCCCAAGAATATGCAACTTCTCTCCCTAAATATTCTAAGCTCTGCCATCTCTTTGTGATTGGTTAGTTCTTGGTGGTGTCACTCATGCGGTCTTCATGTTACTCTGCCCAGAACTAAGTCTCTGTCCCAGCACTTATCTTAGTATATATCATTGTACTGGAATATTCTGCCTCTTCTGGTCCTGGGGGTGTTTGAAAGATCCCCTTTGGAATTTGTTGCCCTTATCTCTGGAGCCCTCTTTATTCCTTCCAGGCTTTTCCTATAATATTCTGACCCTAAAGGCTCTCCATGTGCCATGTGCCTCAGTTTCCCAGAGATTCCTTTTTATCGTTGCTCAGTGAGTTTCCCAGGGGAGTTTCTCCACAAGAGAAACATCAGTTATCCAAAAGAGGAGGTTGATTATGAGAAAGGGAGAGAAGACAAAGCAACACTGGCATAGACAGGAGTGGGCAGTAAGAGTTGGCCTTGGAGGGGGCAGCCTCAGGTGTTATCCTCTCCTCTAGGTGGGGAGGGTCTCGTCTCCATGGGGTGGTTTGCTTTGTTGAATTTGAATAGCTATGCAGAATTTGAAAAGGACCAGAGATTCTGCCATGGCCCTCAATCTCCACACCCTCACCTCCTGTCTGAGCTCCTGACACCCTCTACAGAAGTCTGAACAGTGCTTGAGTCTGAGCCTCCTGACCTAATCATTGGAGCATCAGGATTGTCAGTGCCAATAGCTGGGTCCATGGCTCTGGGAATCCCTTCTACCCCCAGCTCCTGTGTGAGTCAGATTTGGTTTGGTGATGCCTCCTTGTCAAGTTTTCTCCCCTTTTCCTGCACCAGTAGCATGCGAGCAGAAGGCCCTGCTCTTTCCTCCGCTTGGAGAGCCGGGGCTCCAGGTATGTCTGAGACAGGAAACATTAATTCCTTCATTTCAGCTTCTGGAATGAAAGTGAGGGTAAACACAAATAGTGCAAGTTCTTTGAGTGAGAGACAACCCTGGTAGTTTCTAAATACACTCTGAAATCTAATGTTGATTTTGGAGTGAGTGGGTTTTGAGTGTGGGGACCAGGGCTCACTCTGGGAACATGTCACCAGAACTCCTGTTTCAGCGGCATGCGTCGATTTTCCCAAGGCGAATTTCTACACTAGACAGAGACAATAGTTGTATGAACCAGAGTTACTTTGTGGGGGGTAGGGGGTGGGAGGGGAGGGATTGGGGTCAAAATAAGGGTTTTGCAATTGTATGGGGGATATAAAAATAAAATTTATTATAAAAAAATAAAATCATCATACTTTGCTAAAAAAAAAAATGAATAGGCTTAGTAGTAAAAGGGGACAGAAGAATGAAGGACACTTGCATAGACGGAGGACGGCTGAGAGAGCTCCCTGAGAGGGACAGGTTTGCTGAGAGAGGCCTGCATGATTGCAGGCAGGCGGCCTTAAGGAGAAGTACCCACATGGTCATGGGCAGGCAGGAGGCAGCTGCCCTGCAGAGCAACACACTTGGTGAAAAGAAGCACCTGCAAAGTGGACAGGGGGCTGCTGAGAGCTAGTGCAGAGACTGCACTGATAGAGTCTTCTCTTTGGGAGGGGTCACTCCTTGTGCTCCTTGGGGTTAGTTGCTGTTGGATAACTGCAGAATCCTAAAGGGACCAGAGTATTCTACAGTGGGCTCAACCTCCATATCTCTACCTTGAGCCTGTGCTCTAGTCACTCCCTCCAGCAGTCTCAAAACGACTTGGGTCTTATGCTTTGTAATCTAGGCATTGGAGCCTAAGGGTTTGGGTTCTAGAGCTGAGTCAATGGCTATGCAAATCCCGGACCCCACTTCCAGCTCTTGGCATTGTGTGAGCCAGGTTTCTGGTCATGTGTGGGGCTCCTTTTTAGTTTTTCTATTCTTGTTGTCCATCAAAATCTTCTCTGCTTCCCCTTGAGTCCAAATTAGTCATCAGGGTCTTAATCACTGATCCTACAATGAGATAAGCAGAGCTATGAAACCCACTTCCTCTGCCTTCTCTTTATTATGCCTAAGATCAATGGTGGTGTGACCCATGTAACTCAAGCAGCCAATGCACAGGCAAGTGGGGGTTTATTACAGAACTAGTCTGGGCTCTGAGCACCTACCGTCGCAGTGGCAAATATCAAGAGCCATGAACTGGGGGATCAGGCAGATATTTATAAGGTTACAATCAGGCTTAAATGTTAAAACAAGGTAGCGAATGCTCATTGGTTACAAGAGGGCGATTTTTGTTCTTGGCACGTGTGCAACCCAAAGTTCAGACAGATTGGCTGGGGACACTGTATTCCCCTTATTTGGTGTTCTGAGGTGTTCTGAGACTGTTATCATTGGGTGTCCATAATGAGGTGAGGATAAGACACATTTCAGAAATGTTGCATCATCTCTAGGCAAAGAGACTTATAACTCAAAATGGCAGTTATACACAAAATGGCAACACATGGTTAAACACAAATAGCTAGGTACCACACTCTCTTGTACCGAGTACACAGTTGGTGTGTGTTTTTTTTTTTTAAGATTCATTTATTTATTTATTTATACAAGCACTGGGTACAGTCAGAGACACGGGAGGGTGAGAGAATTCACCAGAGCCAGAGTGGAGAGCAGAACAGGCAGAGTGACGAAGTTCACTGCTGAGGGGGGCAGTGGGCAGCAGGAGAGATCTGAGCGCTATGTGGGACCCACACCCAGTGGTCGGGGATCAAACTGGTGCTGCAGAGGCTTTGGGCAGCTTCGCAACCCAGCGCTCAACCGCTGCGCCACCAGGGAGGCCCCACACTTGGTGTTTTTAAAGTGACTCCCAATGTTTCCCCTTTCTCTCCAGGCCTGCTGCTAACTTCTCTCGTGTGCAGAATTTCTTGTGTTGTTCTCATAGTTTTTAAACTGGTCTCCCTCACTCGAGGATTTAGCCCTCCATTCCTTCTCGCACTGGATATTCAGGTCAGGTCTCCTGTCCAGAGGCTGAAAATGTCTCAGATGGTGTCACTGTTTGTACAGCTGGTAGCCAAATCATGTCCTATTGAGTCCTAGGGCAAGTTAGGGTTAATTAGGCAGTCAGGGACAGTGCAGGCAGGGGCTTGGGAGAGTTAAAGAGGCTTCTGAGATAAGGGAAACAATAGGAATAAGGCAAGCTCCAGAGGTAAGGACAACCTCTGAAGAGAGTTAATCAAACACCCAGGACCAGGGATAGTGGATGTTCCTGGACAAGGCCAGTGAAGAAAAGGATGGAAAGGGCTGGGACACAGAGACTTAGTCTGGGCACAGAGACATGAAGACTGTGTGAATGAGACCACCAAGAACTAAGGAATCACAAAGAGACCTGTGGAGCTTCAGAATAATTAGGGAAAGAAGGTGTATATTCTCTGGGGCAGGACTCCACTTTGGCTCCCTTGTCCCTCCCTTGCCTGGGAGTTCCACTTTATTTCTCCCCTTTCCTCCTCAATAAACTTACTTTCTTTATCTAAACAAATCTGCCCCTTTTTGCTGTGTGCCTGAGCTTCAGTGAGGCTCCTGCTGTGTCTTGGTGAGACACCAACCTGTGGTGGTCTAGTGGTCGGGACTCAGAACTGGCCCTGCAGCTGGGGTCCCTTCCTACCTGGACACTAGGTGGGCCTGAAAACCTGCAATTACGGTATCAGTTGGCTAAAGAAAAAAAATACGGTATCAAGTTGCCAAAAGGACAGGGATGTTCATTTCCTGTACACAGGGCATTTCCTGACACCAATAAAATGGTTTTTCTAACTTTGACAAGATGCCCCACCCCTGAACTAAGGAAAGTTCTGGTGCCTATATTGAAGTGTGTGGCTTTCTTTAAGCAGAGAAGGACTGAAGCTGTTCTCTATGCCTGCTGAGTAGGGGTTCTTTTCTGTTTAGGGGCCAAGGACTTAGGTCTCAATCTGGGATGGACAGAAATCAGAAACTGAAGGTGAGGTGATAGTGCAGTAGTGAAGTCCTTGTGTGTGTGTGTCCTTCACCTTCTGATCTGAGTGTGTCTACTTTTGCTGATTTAAAAATGCAAATCAGGGAACAATGAAAACCTAGGTGTTTTCAGTTGCAGAGAAGGAGATTAGAATTACCCACCTAACTTGTTTCCTTTTGAACTGTGATTTGGTGGGAGGATGCTTCCCTTCCTGTCTCCTGACATCTCAGTGTCATCTCATCCTGTCATCAGAGATTAAGTTCTGCAGACACTGTAAGGCCACTGCCCTCCTGCTGTTCTTTCACTGCCTAAGGCCCCCCTAACACTTACTTTTTTTGAAGAGTTATTTTATTTATACATAAAAGAGCAGCATAGCTATTCAAAATCAACAAAAGCAAACTACCTCACAAACATGAACCCCTCCCCACCTAGAGAAGAGGATAAGGAAAGACAAAGCAGGCAGAGGCACCAAAGTAGAGACTAGTGTATTGTCATTTCCAGTTTTTGTTTCCCAAAGGAAGAAAAGTATGACCGTACCAGAAAGTAAAGTTCATTTGCTATTCACAGAGGAGGGGTTTCCCTGAAAACAAGCATGTGGTTTTTCTGACTCAGACTAGTGCCCTGCCCCCACACTCAAGCACCTTAAAGTCACTTTCCTTTGGAAGTCTGTGGCTTTCTTCAAGCAGAGAAGGACTGAGCCTGTTCCCCCTGGCTGGTGAGTAGGTTTTCTTTCCTGCTTATGGGTTAAGGACTTGGGTATCAGGGCTGGGAGATGCAGAAATTGGAGAAAGCAAGAACAGGCCCTTTGGAAAACTCACACCACCAGGCACCAGGGAACATGAGATAAGCAGAATCAGAGATACAGCTGACAACAGTAACTAACTCCAGCAGACCCTCTGGGCAGAAGAGACACCTGCTCTGGACAGTACATCCTTGCACAAGCCTTCCAAATATCATGTAATGAAGTCTAATGACTTAAGAGTGGGGCCGGGGCTTCTGTATTTGAACCCCTGAATTTGAATCCTTTCCCTACTTACTATACACACTGCATGCTATACACAGAATTTGGGTCAATTACTTAAGCTCTCCATTTCCGTTTCTACATAGTGCCAATATTAATATACTTGCTATATGAAGTTTTTTTTTTTCTCCATTTAATTGCTGTACCATTGGTGTACATTGTGAGGATACAGGACGTATAGGATCCCTTCCTTCAGATGTAGTTAACCTGGCATGCCCATTACCAAAGCACCCATATTCCAACACTATAGTCCAATGAAAACTGACATAAGGCTGTTGGCACCAATGTGAGGCCCATTTATATTAACTATTATTACTGCAGCTGTGTTGTGGTTAACTACAAAAAGATGGCATTAAGAATGATTTGAATCCTAATATGTGTGATTATTTTATTTCAATGATCTGTACAATAAGGGAAATATTGTAGGATATGTGTGAAGGTCCAGCAGACAAATATTTGTAAAGTATGCAGTACTGAGATTTATAAATGATATAGATGATAATTTATATATAATTGTTTATAATCATGATCAGTGCCTAAGAAATGTTAATAATCATTAAGTTGCCGGTATTTGTTCACTTTTTGTTTATGCATTAGAAATTCCATGTGTCTTTTTCATTAGAGTTGTTCAAAACATTTATTGAAAGAATACTTTAAGATAACATGGAGGATGAGGCTGATGCTCTGGGCCAAGTCTTTGTTTCAAGTCCTGTCCCATTTTCTAAAGAAACTGTGTTTTTGTGTCTAAGTTATCTTTGCATCTAGATAGACTGGAGCACTCTATTTTACTGTGGATTTAGAATCAATGAGGCATCTTCCCTTCTTATCTACTATAAATCATATCTGTGGGGTTAAAATAAAAGTATGACTTTGATGTCCATATTCACCTAAAAGCTGGGACTTATGTCAGATAGTAATGTTATCCTGGTATCCATTTAATGTGTCAAACAGAAAGTTGATTTTCAGTCCTAAATTTTCAGATTATTTTCAATTCTGAATTTTGATTGAGATAAGATCTTAAGGCATAAAAACTTTAGGTGAATTCATTCATTGATGTGTGTACTCAGCAAGCATATGAGTGCTTGCACATATTTTAAGTCTTAAGATGCAGGAATGGGATGTAGATTGAAAAACAGCTCTTTCACCAAGGAAATTAAACACAGAGGAAAGACCCTATTGTCTGGGGGATAAATGTACAGTCCAGACAAGAATGCAGAGGATCCTTGGTGGTAGGTCATCATCACTACTGTGTGAAAGAGAGAAACCGAAAGATAAATTGAATGCAGTGGGTTGCCAGATGATGGCACAAGACCCAATGTCAAAGAGGAGAGCACAGAAGTTACCAAAAAGTTGAGGTGGCGATGAAACTTTAAACATAGCCTCATGTGTATCTAATGGCCTAAGAGAACATTATAGGTAGGATGAGACAGTGCAAATGGCGGGGAGATGGTTCACTAGTGAGAAGTCTTTTGAAGTCTGTTTCACATTCCAGGGAGCTCTCTGAACAGGAAAATTCTCTCTAAGCTGTGCCCACAGGTGAAGGAATATTTTTATTTCTCACAGGAAATACAAACAATGGAGATTCATATAAGGAATGGGAAAAGCTGTCCAAAGAACAACCATGGATAAAACAACTCAACCTCAAAGGGAAGGGTATTCCTCCGGGATTGAACAAAGAACAGAGGGAAGTGGTTGAACAGGCCAATCTTACAGAGAATGAAAAGAAGTTGTTTAACTATGTTGTTGAGACAGCGTCTAGAAGACAAGATGCCAGGCCACAAAACTTCTAAAATACCACCAACAAAAATTCCAAGAGAAGGTAAGTGATGGCCATCTCATATTTTTTGGAGAGGAGCAATTCCAATGTCCTCTCTAATACCTCCTTCCTAGTATTACAAAAGCATCATTTTTACTAAACCTTTCATTAGCCTTTTAGAGGCCATTTTGTCTTCTAGGATCAAAGTCCTGGGCCTCGCTGATGGTGCAAGGGATTAAGACACAGAACTACAAAGCTGTCCACAGCCACTCCAGCACGGATTCTATCTTTGGCCGACCAGGTAGCTACCCACATGGTGCAGAAGACCTCTCCTGTCTTGCCCGCTGCTCCCCTCAGCAGTTTATTTGATCAGTCTGCCTGTTCTGTACCCCACTCTTTCTCTGGTGAATCCTCTCACCCCCCTCAGCAACTCTGGCCCTTTCCCCAGCTCTTGTATGCATAAATAAATAAATCTTAAAAAAAAAGAAATTGAGTCCCAGTGTACATTTTAGACAGAAAGAGCTAATTATAGAGACTTGGTAGTAAGGGATTCCTGAAGTTGAACCCAGCCTCTGTCACTTGGACACATATGACTTCATTCTGAAATTCCCCAGGCATCATTCTCAGCATCTGGGAAATGGGGCAATTCCTATAACTTCCTCCAGACTTTGTAAGGCTAGGTGTACAATGGCAGGGGCACTCTGCTGACTTCCTTGATTTTAGATCTCAGCCAGAATTCTGACTCCAGAGTCAGTTACCTCTAACACCTATTCTGCATTTACACCTGATGTCACAACAGTAAAATCACTAATTCCCACCAGCACATTTATTCCACTTTTTAATCCCCTTTCTATATAGAGGGAATGTACTCTATTAGGTTTCTCAATCCAGAGCACAACTGTATGTTTCATCCAAACACAATAGCTCTTAGCAGAGTCACAGCCAATTGCAGGCAAGTAACACAGAATGGACAAATGAAAAACATGCTGCAATAAATATCAGTTATCGTAATTATCATTCAGCGTGCAGTATTTAGACCTTGTCAGTGCTTCCTCATTCCTCATTCATGGGACCACCTAGAAAATGACCAATCAATTAAAATCTTCCAAAACTTCTGACTCAGATTGAATTAAGAGTATCACTAGACTTAAATAGCCTCAGCTCCAACCAAGTTCACCAGTAATAGACACCATGTGCCATAGAGTTTAACTTGATTTCAGTTAATTTAACTGAAATTAGTTTATCATAATAATAAGCTATAATAAACAAATGCCCTGAAATTAATTAATAATAAGTAATAACAAACAAAAGGCAACTGACATTGTGAAGACCTCATCTTGCCAAATCAGCATTCCAAAAAGCCCTTCCTGTGGAATGGAACATACCCACCAGAAGATGCACATGGCAATCTGATGCATTTTCAAAATTGTGAACTAGGCTATTTCTCATGAATATTATTACACTGGCCCATGTGCAGGTTTATTGCTTTTTCTTAAACTGTGGATGGTGGGGGTGTGGGGGAAATTGCTTATTTTTTAACATTTATTTATTTATGTATACAAGAGCTGGGATATAGGCCAGACATGTGGGGGGGGGGTGAGAGGATTCCCCAGAGACAGAGTGGGAAACAGAACAGGCAGATCAACTGAAATATACTGCTGAGGGGAGCAGTGGGTGAGACAGGAGAGGTCTGCCTTGCCATGAGGGTTTCTCCCTGGCCAGCCAGGGATCACACTCATGCTGCAGAGACTGCGGATTGCTTTATAGTGCAGTGCTTAACCCCTTGCACCACCAGGGAGACCAGCTTTTATTTATTTTTTTATTTTTTTAAGTCAGAGATAATTCAGCAAATGGGACTCAAAGCTTTAGTAACCCCAGGAATCACCATGAACATTGAACTAAACTGAAATATCCTAGCAGGCTGCAGAATTGTGGCAGACAAGAAGAGGCGTGAACTGTCATGTCCAGTGGCTCCCTCAGCTCAGTCTGTTCGTGCTTCCTCCAGTGACTCCAGGACACTCACAGGATACTGGGCTGGGATGCCAACAAGGGGAGTGTGCTGGTCAGTAGAATATGTAAATCCCTGGCATTTCTTCAGATGTGGGTATAGTTCTGAGAGTTGAGAGCACAACATGCGGTGAATGGGGTAGATATTCGCCAAGATATTTGTTTATCTTAACTTGCGGATGCATATATTCTGTGCTGGCTGATGCTACTTAGAGAGAGCTAACACTTGAATTCCTGCCCCTCATTAGTCCCCCCCACTCTAGTGGAGAGGACTCTGCCTTTTCCCAATGCCAATCCTTTCCTTTTTATAACAATTTTAGGATTTTCCTGATCATTTCATTACATAACAGATAAGACTCAGATAGTAAAATTTTTATCTAGATTCCTGATTCTCTTGTTCCTTTCTGAGGTGCTACCGGGTTAACAGGAGTTCCTGTTGGAGAGCAAGATGCACCATATTTATTGTTTTGAACTCAAAGCACTCATATTCATGCTAATTTTACCTCAGACCTAAGAAGTTTTAGTTCACCAAAGCTGCATAAACTGGGAAGAAAGGAGATGCTCTCAGTGGGAACACATGCCTTTAGACAGCTGTGTCCCAGGATCCTATATTGCTTCATGCTGGCAGTGTCTTCTGGATTGAGAAAGGAAATCATGGGTCACTATATAATCCATAAAAAGAAATATTTAGAAATGGTGGTGTCTTAAAGCCTTAAAAGTAGCTGCATCTCCACAGCTTTTTTGCTGTCAGCATCACCTTTATAAAGACACTTAATAAAATAGCATTATTTAAACATACATTGTAATGAGTGAAGTGAAAAAAATATTATGAACTACAGTAAGAGAAACTTTTGTACAGGATAATGTTGTAATTGAACACAAAGCTTTCTTCTCATGAACTAACACATGGTTACATTCGCTCTGATACATTCCTCTAATTTCTGCTTGTGACTTCCTCCTCCTCCTCCAAGGGAGGAGCTTTTCCCCTCTCTTGCACAACCTCAGTCAGATGAGGACAACCCATACTGGATACTCATACCTTTCTCTAGTGATTACGTCAGGATGTGTCTGAAGCAAACTTTTCCAAGAGGGAGGAATTATTACCTCCCATTTTAAGCATGAGTTGAAAATACTGCTGTTTGTTCAGCATTTGGGAGACCAGGACTTCAGAGTATGTTAAGAATCTCTGAAATGAAAGTGTCCATTTCACCCAGGGTAGCAAGCTCTGGTTACTAGACAGTGTTTCTCATTTACGTAGCTGACTGCCCCACGGGATGAAGACACAGGGAAGTCCATCTCTTGTAGGAAGGTTACAGTTCAGGCTGAGGTTGTTAAAAATAGAATCGTTGGGTTGTGTAGAATTCAGTATTAATGTTTGGTGTTTGTAACTGATGTGTTGTGTGGATTAGGAGTCACAATTGGGTAGCCCATGTGACTACCTAGTATTTGAATTGTGGCTATTAACATACATGGACATAATATTTGATATATCATGTAGAAAAAAATATACAATCACATTAATATTATAGTCTTTTTAATGTGGACATAGTCAATTTAAAATTTAAAGTATGACTTCATTATATTTCTAATGATAAATATTACTCAATATACTCTTGCTCAGAGATCAAGTTACAGGGCAACCCTGATATAAAATGGGTTGCCTGACTGTGGGTCCTCACCCACACGCTTAAAAGTGACTTATTAATACTCAACACACACAAAAGGCACACACAAAATGTTAATAAAAGGTTTATTTACAAGGGAAGGGGAAATGAGGAAATGTACAACTCAGGGAGAAAAGAGGGAGATGAAGTCTTAAATGCGTCCTACTGGTTCTGCCAAACTGGAATACAAATGGCACTCTGAGAGCTGGCAATGAGCCAAGAGCCGTGAAGCCAAGAGAGAGCCCCAAGGCCCACATGTCTGGTTTTATACCAAACCTGGCTGCTTAACTCCACCATCAGGCCCCAGCCACCCTCCCTTTGGTGATGATGGTATTTGTCTTTCCCAATGTCTTGATGGCTTTGGTCTGGAGTGGGGGTGGAATCCACAAAGCCTGTATGGGATTAGCTCAGGACAGCCTTTCCCACTAACAATTCCCCCCGTTCACTTTTTGCCACCATTTCCACGGTGATGAAGATCAAATATATGGCTGCTGAAGATCAAATATACAGTCTCAGATGAAAATTTTTCAGGGTTCCAGTGTGAAAGAAAATCAATCTCACCAGGTATTGTCCATTGTGGAAAGCAAAAGTCCTCCCTTCCTGGAAAAACATATAATTAGTCAAAGTCAAAAAAAAAAAAAAAAAAAAACATCTGGAGGCATTAGCCAAAATAAGACAACAAATATGTCAAAATCACAGGAGAAAAAAAATTGAAAATTGGTTCAACTTATGTAAAAACAAATTCTCTCAACCTTGAGCCCAAATCATTTTAACAGCATAGCAAAAGTTTGCAAACTAAATCTACTCTTAAACCATATTACCCATTTTTGCATAAAATCACACAATAACTAAACAGCAATTTTAGCTGGCTTTGTTGGAATACTCCATATAGGATCAGATCAAACTCTTGACATCCGGTCATGTAGGCTTCAAGAAAAAAGTTGATCTCATCAGACTCCACCTGGGCTTTCCTCTTCTCGAGGGTAGAAGGACTTTTTTGTTTGCTGGGTTGTCTAGGCTGGCCAATGGAGGCAGCTTCCTCACCTTCTTTGGAGTTCCCTGGAACCCTGTGAACAAAGCAACAGGTTCTCCTCTTCTTGGTTCAGCTCTGTTTCAACTTCCTGGAAGAACTCCACTCAAAGCCACACAATGAAACTCATGTCCAATTTTTTTAGTTTAAGCAGACAAAATCCCTATGGAAGTTATGCAAAAACAGACTCAGAGATAAGTAGTAAAAGATTACTACCACTATTTTTATGCTGTGTTGGTATCAAGGGGAGAGAAAATACAAACACAAGTTAGCTTCTTTTTTTTTTAGAGATCTATTTATTTATTTATACAAGCACTGGGTACAGTCAGAAGCGCGGGTGGGTGAGAAAATTCACCAGAGCCAGAGCAGGGAGCAGAACAGGCAGACTGATGAAATACACTGCTGAGGGGAGCAGCGGGCATGGCAGGAGAGGTCTGTGTGCCATGTGGGACCCTCACTGACCAGCCAGGGATCAAACCGGCACTGCAGAAGCCATGAGCAGCTTTGCAGCCCTGTGCTCAACCGCTGCACCACCAGGGAGGTCTCACAAGTTAGCTTTGCTGGAAAAAAAAAAAAATGCAAACTTGCTGCAGATCCTGGTCACTCAAAACAGGAAAAATTTGTGTATTCAGAACAAAATGCAAAAAGAAATTACCAGTATTATCTCAAAGAAAACTTAGTAAAAATCAGGTGTGTCTCTAACAGTCTATTCTGTCCTTCAGTAGGAATCTGTTGAGGTCTTTTCTCCCTATTTTTTCCAGAAACAATTTCTGTAGATATCAAACAATTGAAGTATACAATATTACAAGGTGACAATCACCACTGACAATTTACATACATGTCAGATACTGAGAGGTTTTATACACATTTTAGAAAACCAATGTTGACATTTCTGTACATGTCAAAGTTTCCCCATTTTCCCAAGTGGCAATGTTTCCCTTCTAGTTTTACTTTCCTTGGAAAGTCAAATAGGACAAATTCATCTAATGCCTTTCCTAGGAGGAAAGGGAGAAATTTTGTGGAGTGTCTCAGGAGCTCTCCTGAGGTTCCACAAGATTTCCTTTGATCAACCATATGATAGGCTACCAAATTTTTACTTGAATTTAGATTTCTGGGAAGCTTTGCCATAAACATCAGAAAACAGCAGAAACAACAATATTCAATCTCTATGAAGGCACCGACTTAGTTCAGTAGTACATTGTTGACAATCACACCATAGTCTTTAGTTATGAAGATAACTGGAGACTCTTTTATTTCAATGTCTATAGGCACCATATACACCAATTTGTCAACCACTGGAGGCCAAGACAAGGACACAAGGAAAGGACATACAGACATACAACATATAGACACAAAGAGCTCTTTAGTTACCATTTATCATGCATGGGATATCTTACGCAATTGCAGTTTCACTCATAGGCCAACATAACAAAAACAAGCAGAAAAAAAAAAAAAAAAACTCGAAGTTTAAAAAAAAAGTTAAAACAAGATTGAAAGCCATTCTGTGTAAAAAAAAAAAAAAAATACTGCCAGCATATGCATGATTCAAGATGTTATTTCATGTCTCCTAAACTTTGAAAGGAAGAAAATTGGTTATAATATGTTAGTTTTCTCAGGGTTTCTTCAGAAAAGTGAATCCTTTGGTATCCTGCAACAATAACTGGAAAAGAAGTCAGTAACAATCAAGTTTTTTGTCTTTTTCTTAAATAAATATCTCAAGTCCTCAACAGGTTCACAAGACCAGTGGGACTTCGTCTCTGGTCAGGTACTTCTGGGCTTATTTAGATCGAGTGGAGCCCCTGGGTCCCCTATTCTTCATCTGTACCTTCTCCATATACTATGATTTGTCTCCTTTCCTCTGCACTTGGCTCTTGATTCCTTCTACTCTGTCCATAGTCCCTCCTATCTTCACCTGAGCCTCTACTCTGTGCTGTCATTTGTCTCCTTTCTTCTGTACTGGGCTCTTGGTTTTTTCTCTGTCTGTATCCACTATCATCATCTGAACCTCTACGCTGGCCTATCGTTTGTCTCCTTTCCTCTCTCCTTGGTTCCAGGTTTCTTGTACTCTGTCTATATTCAGTCCAGTAACTCCTGTGTGAATCGTCATGTTGTGGTGTCCTCAGTCTTCTGTCCTGCCTTATGTACTTATCTCGTCTGCTGCTTACCTGTAATCTGGGACAACTGTACTTCCAGTGCCCCTCTTCCCTGCAGTGAGCACACTGATTTCTCCCTAGGGGTTCATTTCTCATGGGTTCACTTCTCCTGGGTTCACTTCTCAGTCCATTACTGTTTCCCCGAAACCCTGTCCTGTGCTCTCTGAACGAAAACAGTCGCAGGTTTCAGTCTCCTGTCCTCTCTATTATTATAAACCCTAAATGCTAAGTCCACTACCTGGGACTGACTCATCTCTGTGATACCATACACCTTTGCTAACTTTTTTTCTTTATGTCTGGGGCATTATGTGTAATGAACGCCATGGTGATCAGACAAAAATTTTCTGGGCATCTGGGTTTATATCCACGTGGTTGGTATATGCCTGAATAATTCTTTCAAGGAACTCCAATGGAGCCTCATTAGCTCCTTGTTCAAGTTGTAATATTTTGTTAATTTTTTTTTTTGTTTGGTGATTCCCTGCTGCAGTCCTGCCAATAAACATTTTTTATATAGTTCTAACATCACTATTCCTCCATTGTTGGCGTCCCATTCAGGATCTACTACTGGGACAACCATCTCTGGCTCTGGGGATTCTCTATCCTGTTGGTGGAGATGGTCAGCCTCCTCCCTGGCTTTCCTGAATACCATTCTCTGCTCATTCAGAGTTAGTAAAATTTGTAGCATGGACTGTGTGTCTGCCCAGTTAGGGTGGTGGGAAAGGAAGAAAGAGGCAAACAAGTTTGCCATCCTTTCAGGAGCCTGCCGGTATGAGGGGACAGAGCTCCTCCAATTTAGGAGGTCTGCAGTGGTAAAGGGATGGTGTGACCAAAAGTACCCAGCAGGTCACCAATGTTCATTCAATCCACCCATTGGCATCTGGCAAAGAGGAAACTGTCCTGCCTCAGGGTGACCCTTCCTGTCAAAATGGGTGTCGCGTCTAGTATGGGGAGGAGATGCCATTTTAGTTTCCTCCCTGGAGGGCAGTGGAAGCTGTGAAGCCTCAAGAGTCTGAGGGAGGGGCCTTGTCACACAGAGAAGGAATTAGTGCTGATGTATTTAAGGTATTTAACAAATGCTACTCCTCCTCTTCTAACTCTGCCCTCTTGCAGTCCTCATGGGACAGGGAAGGTTTATCCCTTCTCTGTGCCATCAGCCGAGCCTCTGCCAAATCCATTTTATGGAGGGCAGCCTGTATCTGGTCCTGCATACTTTTAAAAGCTGTATCCTGCATGCTTTTAAAAACTGACTCAAAAACAGTACGGTTTTCTTTCCTCACATTCTTAATAGTTAAATCAAGTGCCTGAATTTGTTGTTACATAGCTAAGTTAAGAGCCTGAATGTTTTGTTTTACATTCTTAGTATGTGAAGTAGAACATCTACCTCTCATAGAACCAAACATATAGCAAATGGCACTTACACACATTACCAAAAAAACAAAAAAACAAAAAACACCCAAAAGCACAGATTGTAAAGGGATGGCTTGTAAACCACCCATATATGTATACAGAAGTAAAATCATGTGCCATATACCAGGTTTTATCAAATTATTTACATTTATAAAACTAGTGGTAATATTTAATGGAAAAAGGCTACTTAAACTCAACGCTGGAAAAGAACTGAAAGAACTCAAGCTAGGGATAAAACTGTGTAAGCTCATAGTTGAGGCCATGTTTGGGTCAAAAACACAGCCACAAAAGCTGTAATATGGGGAAAAAAAGCAGACTTTTCAAGACTTGAGACAAAGATTACACTGCAAGTCCTGCAGTCCTAGTATGCTTATGGTGACCAACGCAAGGAAAGTTACTTTGGGCTGGTCAACCATGGGTGTAACTTGGAAACCACATTGGGCACCAAACTGTTACAGGGGAGCCCTGATATAAAACAGGTTGCCTGACTGTGGGTCCTCACCCGTGTGCTTAAAAGGGACTTATTAATATTCAACACACACAAAAGGCACACACAAAATGTTAATAAAAGGTTTATTTACAAGAGAAGGGGAAATGAGGAAATGTACAACTCAGGGAGAAAAGAGGGAGATGAAGTCTTAAATGCATTCTATCTGTTCCCCCGAACTCGAATTCCAAATGTTACTCTGAGAGCGGGCAGTGAGCCAAGAACCATGAAGCCAAGAGAGAGCCCCAAGGCCCTGGTTTTATATCAATCTGGCTGCTTAACTCCACCATCAGGCCCCAGCAACCCTCCCTTTGGTGATGATGGTATTTGTCTTTCCCAATGTCTTGATGGCTTTGGTCTGGAGTGGGGGTGGAATCCACAAAGCCTGTATGAAATTAGCTCAGGACATCTTTTCCCCCTAACAATCACAGCAAGTTTACGTGGGTGAATGATTATTCTAGAGTATCACTGGAAAAATCAAACCTTTCAACTAACTATGAACAGTCTATATTTAACCTCGGGTCATCAAGTTTTTTGTCCTAAGAAATATCAAAATCTATGATTGCATTTTGGCAATATTACATTTTTATTTTGGGGGATAGATCTGCTTTCTCTATAGACACTTCTCTCTACTTTCCTAATCATAGTACACGTCTTCTCATACTATAAATCAGCTACCACTATATTTTTACATGTTAAGAAATATTCTTCTCAGAATTTCCCTTTTCTGTTAATATTCATGGCTGCTAGTTGGGTTGATGGTCACAGAAGCAGCTATGGTAATTTATGTTATGTATGTGTCCTGCAGTTCCTCCACAGCTCATGGCCAGACCCCATGAATCAGTGAAATCTACAGATGACGTCAAGCCTTGCCCTCATGGAGAATCCCTGAGAATACATAGACAAAGATTGGAGAGGTAATGTGCTCTGACATGAAATAGAGAAAAAGAAGCAATTGTTTTCACTAAATACACATGGATAGAGAATGTATAACTAGTGGGGGAATGACGTAGTAGTGATCTTTTTCACAGGTGCTTTAAGCAAGGAGGAATCATGAAACTTAACACAGACTCCATTCTATTTTCAACCCCATGAGAAAATGCAACTATGCGGCTTTGTGCATTTATCTGTTCTCTTTTTTTTTTTTTCCGGATTTAATTATTTATTTATTTATACAGGCACTGGGTACAGTCAGAAGCATGGGAGGGTGAGAGAATTCACCAGAGCCAGAGCAGGGAACAGAACAGGCAGACCAATGAAATACACTGCTGAGGGGAGCAGCGGGCGCAGCAGGAGAGGTCTGTCGCACCATTTGGGACCCTCACTAGTGGCCAGGGATTGAACAGGCGCTGCAGAAGCTGCAAGCAGCTTCGCAGCCCAGTGTTCAAATGCTGTGCCACCAGGGGAGACCCCAGATTTATGACTTTTTTAACTGTAGAATGGAATCAAAATATTTTTGTAAGACAACATGTCTCAGTAGTAACTACTTAAGTACATTCTAGTGGAAAAGCCTAGGCACAAAGCATACTTAAAAATATAATTACTGTCCATGAAGTCTCCTATGTTGATATGTTTAAAACAGTATAAAAAGAATCACATTACCAAAGGCAAAGGGTATTTTTCTTTAGCTGATGCCACTGGCAAATCCTGGTTTTTATAAACTTTGCCCTGCATCTAGATTGCTGAGAAACATTTGAAAAGGTAGAAGGTAGGGATCTTTCTAATCTCCTCAGGTTTCTCAAGTAACCATCCAGGATATGAACTAAGTTTTAGTCTGGGCTCCTGAAAATTCACTTTCCAGTCATACTTCTTCCTGTCGTCTACTCAATCCATTACACAGAGGGAGAGGGGCTGGACCTTGTCCTCCTGGATGAGGGAGAGGGAAGCTCCTCAAACCCTACACAGAGCAACAATGATTAGTATGGGAGGGTTTCACAGAGATGAATTAGGTTCAGTCAACTGCATAGCCATCTTTCAGATCTACCCAGTGAAACATAGATCCTCAGGGCCAGGAGAAAGCCTCAAGCTTTGCCAGTAAGGAAGAGCCCAAAGGATAAAGGAAGAAAAGGCAAGAGAGGTGCTGTGCTGTGGACACAAGGATATGGATGAAAGATCTCTAAGGGACTCTCAAGTTGTGTTGCTTGCTTAGAGCTGGTTGCCTTGAATGATTCTGAGAAAACACCTGATTCTTCCTTTACAAAAAGGGCTTCATCTCCTTGATTCCCAGGCTTATTAGAGAGTTCCAAGCTTGCTAAATTATCTGAGAAATAATAGCAACAAAAACGATGATGTCTATGGAATGATAACTATACGTTAGACACTATTTTAAGCTTATTGCAAATAAGAAATCTCTTTAATTCTCAAAATAACCTTTTTTAGACATCATGAAATTAAGGCATGAGTAATTAAAAGTTTTAGACAAATCAGTAAGTGGGGACATGATTTTAAATTTCAGTCATTCTAGTTTCAAAGTCTGTTCATCTCACAGTCCTGTGCACGGCTGCCATTCCGCTTATACATTCCATCCCCAGCCCTAGGCAGGACTCGCTCATCCTCCCTGTCTTTATCTCTGGTTCATGGGATTTGGTGTCTGGTTAGGACTAGAGGAGTAGGAGCTGTCTGACCCTCAGGATGAACACTGAATTAAAGAGAACAAGACTATTCATCCCACCTGCATTTCCTAAGATATATCTGATAATTTCAAGGTCAGTCCACACATGCCTTGACCTCATCATCTGCAACATAGAGCTTGATAATCATTCCAGGAGAGATGGGGCCAACAATGACATCAAAGATATGAAGAGACTGCTGGAAAGTCTGGGACACAAACTCACTGCTTTGGTATGGTTTATCCTAATGTAAGGACAGAGCAATACTCTTCCTCTGTCCACAGAATCTGAGAAATCCTCATGAGTTATATATCCTGATAGTCTCAAATGCAAGTTTTTCCTTGAGTAGGCTTCATGCTACCATAATCCTTAAAACATGCAGTGTTTTGAAAAGAGTTTGGTAAGACTTTTATCAGTCTTCACTATTCTAGCACAAAATTTCATTTCTGTTTGCTTCATTTCCTTTTCCTAGGGAAGCCAGGAGTTTTGTCATGCTGTACCAGCTTTTGGAAACATGTCTGCAGGAGCACTTACTTCAAACATTCAATAAATAGGAAATAAAAATGCAAGGTTGTCATGGTTTTCCTTTACTACCCTAGGCAGTCAGGAGGTGAAGTTGAAGTGGGTAATGGATTTGGTGTCCTTAGTTACTATCCATAAATGCTCAACTGACTGACAGCACCATTGTTCCTTTCAAGAGACCTTTTTCAGGGCTTTCTGTTTCTGGGATACAGATGCAAAATGTAGCAGGAACCTGACTTATAAGGATTTGGAATTAGTGGGGAAGATGCAGATAACCCACCCAATGTGCTAAGTGATTTATCCAAAATTGCAGAGTCCCCCATTTATACAAAATCCCAGAGTCCACATAACAGAAATGATGTGTTTCTACCCTTCCTAAGACATTTCAGGGAAACAAAATAATTCAGGTTTCATCTCAGGCAGCTATTCGTTACTGCCTTGTTGGCAGGACAGCACAGCCAGCAAACATGAAATGATTAGCACATGACACCTGTGAATGGCAGGGCATGTTGCAAGAAGATCAGGTCCCTGTGTGCATTAGTGCTGCTGAGTTTGGGGGGAAACCCAGAGTTGTGGGGAGAAGACCAGGGTGAGTCCAAAGGTGTGGGGGTGAAAGAATTCATAAGAGACAAAGTGAGGAACAAAACAGGTAGATTGATTGAAATACACTGATAAAAGAAGAAGCTGGTGAGAACGAAGAAATCTGTGCACTAAGTAGGATTTGAGGCTCTCTTTTATACTGTTTCCACAGGCTTTCTAACTTGGGGCTCCAGATTGCACCAGTTTGCTGCTGGCATGTCCAGTCTCAGGCTCTGGCCCTCAACACAGAAACATGTCTGGCCTATGCTTCTGTCCCAAGGCATCTGTCCCTTATTCATTCCTTTGTGTATCCCACCCTCCCTATCCTGCCTGTTGGGTCTGGAGTGAGGACTTAGTTGTTAACCTTATTCACTTGTACCCAGATACCCGACACTCAGCAAGGTTAGAAGAGGAAGCACTAGGAGAACCAGGCTCCAACCTTTCTAATCATAAATCAGTAAAAGTGAAGGAGAATAGCTGATGTGGTGAAACCTTTACATGCAAACATGTCACAGTCTTTCTTTTTTCTTTTTCTTTTTTTTTTGCTTTTCCTGTCCATTGACTATTCTGGACAAATCTCTTATGCACAATTCTACTATCATCTGAGACTGAATCTATGATCAGTCACTGTTCAGCAGATGTGAAAATATGGAGGTGAACAGCCCCCTCAGTAAAAATTAAGTGTAAGGGCCTCCTTGGTAGTGGTACAAGGGGTTAAGTCTCAGCACTATTAAACTATTGGCAGCCACTGCAGCATGAGTTCTAGCCCAGACAAGGGAGCTAATCTACAGCAGACCTCTCCTGCCTGGCCTACTGCTCCTCTCAGCAGTATATTTCAGTAGATCCTCCTCTTCTGTCCCCCACTCTGTCTCTGGTGAATCCTCTCACCAACAACCCCCAGCCCATACCTGTGACCTAACCCCAGCCTTGTATGCATAAATAAATAAAATAAATCTTCAAAAAATTAAGTGTTAAGGGGGTACTAGGCAGTAAAAGAACAGCAGAGGGGAGTGGCCTTGATATGTCTGCAGAACTTATCTCTCATGACAGGGTGAGGTGATGTCAGGAGACATGGAGGGAAGCATCCTCCCACCAAATCATAGTTCAAACAGGAAACAAGTTATGTAGGTGATTCTCATCTCCTTCTCTGGAAATGAAAATACTTGTAGCTTTTCATTGCTACCTGATTTGCATTTTAAAATATTTATTTATTTATAGATACAAGAACAGGGGACAGGCCAGGTGCAGGGGGTGAGAAGATTCAGAGACAGAGCGGGGAGCAGAACAGGCCAATCTACTAAAATACACTGCTGAGGGGAGCAGCAGGCGAGTCAGGAGAGGTCTGCTGTGCCATGTGTGTAGCTCCCTGGCCAGCTGGGGATGGAACTTGTGCTGCAGAGGCTGGGATGGTTTCATTGTGCTGTGCTTAACCCCTTGTGCCAGCAGGGAGGCCCACCCTGTTGCATTTATGCAAGCAGAAGTAGAAACACAGATTGGAATGTGAAGTACAGAGAGAAGGAGGTGTGTGGGCACTGGGAGAGAAAGGAAAAGGAAAGAGAAAGCAGGCAGAGGTGCCATAGTATAGCCTAGTGGTTTGTCTCTTCCATTTTCAGTTCGCAGAGGAAGAAAAGTTTTATCACACGGGACAGAAAAGTCCATTTGCTGAACACAGGGGATTTCCTGAAAACGCAGAGGCAGTTTTCTGACCTTGGACTAGATTCCTTGCACCTGAACTCAGGAACTTTCAGTAAATTTCATTTTGAAGTCTGTGGCTTTCTTTAAGCAGAGAAGGACTGAGGCTGTTCCCCATGGCTGGTGAGTAGGGGAATGCTTCTGATAAGGGTCAAGGATTTGGGTATTAGGTCACAGAGAGGCTGAAATAGGAAGGGGAAGCGAGATGATAGCATGCAATGGGCAGGCCCTGCTCTTACAGCTGCTGAAGTAGAGCAGGGCCTCCTTGTTTCTCTGAGTCAGGAAAAAGTTAATTCCTTTATTTCTGCTTCTGATAATGAAAGGGAGGGTAAATACAAATAGAGTAAGTTATTTGTGTGAGAGACAACTCTGGGAGATGCTAAATGCACTCTGAAATCTTCTCTGCTTCCTCTTGAGTCCAAATTAGTTGTCAGGGTCCTAATCATTGCTCCTACAATCAGATAAGGGAGGCTGTGAATCCCACCTCCTCTGCCTTCTCTTTTACCGAATACA